CCTGCATTACATATCTCTTAATGACTAAATAATTTATGCAATTGTACTCATTACTGCATTATTACATTTCTTCGCGTAACACTATTTATAATCTCTAAAATTTCCATTATCATTATCACAAAAATCATGGGATCATGCCTTTTTATAACAATTAAATCGATTATTACAGAATTGATTCTTAACCCTAGAACTATTACTGAATATAAGCAATTGGAAAATAATGATTAAAACATAAAAATCAGACATCAGGTTTAAAGTTTATTATGCTTATTATTTATTATTCACTGGACTCAGCTCTGACCGGTAATATATATGATATGTGTAATTAAATGTTATATATATCTTTAATGTCAGAGCTAAGTTTAGTAAATATATAATAAATAATAAACTTGAAATTCAAGATAATGTTTTATTTTGCATACTAAATGCATTTAATAATAAGGTATGTAGATGTTAAATTTAGAATTTTAAACAATAAAATAAATCACCACCCAATTACATGTCCATCTCCTCTAAAATCACTGCCAGCTGCCCAAACTCTCATTCCAGTTTTTGGATCAATTTTTTGTTCGATAATTTGACCCCTTCCAAATATTGATCTTTGAAAACCTTTAACTACCTTAACATGATGACCCAATTCTCTCAATTTATTTATAACATCCTCAGATATACCATCTTCAATACTTACATAAGAAATTGAAGACTTATCGATCAAAGACGTTATATGCGGTTCGATTAAGATTCGTGGGGAATCGAGGGCGGTTTGTGGATTACAAGAGTGATGAAGAAGATTTAAAAGTACTTGAACATGTCCTTGTGGCTATAAAGTTTTTAATAAATTTTAATAACCAATAGTAGCAATATTATAGTATATATAATAAATTACCTGCATAAAAGCTCCCATAACTTTTCCCATAAAAAATATTTATAAGTGAAAGATAAAATAATGCAATGATGCTTATAAATAAATCACATACCACCAAAAGATAACCATAATTCATCACCTCTAGTAGCAATTGCTGGTATAATAGTATGATAGGGTCTTTTACATGGTTCGAGACAATTAGGATGTCCTTTTTCTAAAACAAATCCATTCCCACGAGCATGAAGTATAAAGCCACAACCATTTGGAATTACCGCCTATATAAAATATCCAATTTAATTATTAAAGTTAGCTTAATGAGTATAAATAGGACTTACAGTTCCAAATCCATGGTAGTTCGAATTCTAATTATTTTATTACAAATTTATATTAGTATCATTATCATAACAAAAGATTGATAAATAATTAAAATTTCATACAATAAAGCTACACGCATTTCCTTTTTCATCAACCACGGTAAAGTAAACAGTGTCGCTTGAGTTTACAGGTGACCCTTTATCAATATTAACATTCGCTTTTGTAGGATCAAAAAGTTGTGCACGTTTTGAAAGATAGTCCTGTTTCAATTATTATGTTAAATCGCTATGTTGAATCGTTATGTTAAACATAAAATCTATTTTGCCCTTTACAGTTTTATAATCACAACCTCTATATAAAAACATAAATTTTGGTTCTCTTTTTTATACTTTTATATGGGCTAGGTGCAAAAAAAGAAATCCACTCAATAACTTTAATAAAAAATTTTTTGATCTTAACTAATTCATAATTATCTCAAAAATATTTATCATTTAAAAAATAAATACTATTGTATTAAAATTTTACACATATAAAATATCCATGTAATTGGAATTTTTATGGGCTGTAATATAGATTTATAATATAGAAATCAATTTTTCGCGAATTTATTTTTTATTGATTTGGCTCCTTTTCACAGCATCTAGCCCAGCCCATATAGTAACAAGGCATATATTGTTACATTTAAAAGTCAAGTTGTACCAATTAAATGAACCATGTATTAAAGCATATATCTGAAATTATATACAATTTAAATGAACTTTTATTAATTTATTTTTTATAAAATAACAGTGAATTAATAAAAATTCGTTCAGGTATAAACTTTCAAAAATATATATTTTGTTATACTAAATAACTTAATTTAATGCATAAAAGTAAATTTTCTTAGTAAAATTTTGACTTTTATATGTAGCCACTATCAATACTTATGTATGTATTCATTTTTGTATTGGGTAAATACCTATCTGAAGTAGCTACTTTAGATATCTGGAGACTGTCCAAAATTAATACCAGATCTAAATTTTAGGGATTAATTTTAGTCAGCTGCTATTTCAGATATCTAAGATAGTAATTTCAAATAAGCCACACTGTTATCTATTAATGTGACTATATTATCATATATTATAGAAGACTATGATTATATTGAAATTCCGTCTCATCCTTATATTAAAATCACAACACTTACCTTTGATAAGAGTTTTTTCGTCATATCATAAAAGTCAGGATCAGCCACATAATATGTAGAATCTGCGAATGCCAATCGTAAACTTTCAATCACAACATGTAAATATTCTGCTGAATTATGCGTCATTTCGCTAAGATCTCTTATTTTACCACTTTCTTGAAGTGACTTAATTATACCAAGAGCGATAAGAGCCGTGATACCTTTAAATATTATTCAAGATAAAATCAAACCAATTATATAGTAGCCGAGAATAATAAAATCGAACCAACCCTGTCCATTGGGCGGACATTCCCATATGGTTACATCTTTATAATTAATGCTAATAGGATCTACGCGGGTAGAAGTGTGAGAGGCCAAATCATCTAAAGACATAACTCCTCCTTTAGACTGTACAGTCTCAACAATGGCTTGAGCAATTCGACCTTATAATTTAGCATTATTATAATTAACTCTGAAATAATTACTTATAGTAAATCAATGTTATATATTTATTACCTTTATAGAATCCATCTTTTCCTTTTTCTGCCAATTCTCGAAACGTTCTAATTATAAACTTTATATTTCAGATGTATAATTTGTAAACTAAGTTTATCAAAATGAATTACCTTGCCAAATTAGGCATTCGCATTATTTCTCCACATTTTGGAGCACGACCATCAATCAGCATATCACATCCATTTGTTGAAGCATTAAGGAGGTCACTTTCACCAACTTTCCACTATTTGATTAATAATAAGTTCTCGTTTTTAAGATTTTTAAAAAAATTTTTTGCTTAATAAATAGATCACATACTATCCAAGCACTTATTTCTGATACCGGATATCCGTTTTCAGCCAAATCAATTGCGGGTTGTAAAATTTCTGCCAATTTTAAATTTCCACTCCCAAACCAATTAATAGTGTCAACCCATCCTGCAGCAGCTCCGGGAACAGTTGCAGAGTTGATATTTAATAATGGTATGTGATTTTCATCAATTCCAAGATCGTTACGTACATATTCCAAAGTAAGATTAGCAGGGGATCTTAAGTTTATAATTTAAAAAGGTTTGAAAACATAATTAATATTATATGAAATTTTTTTTTGGAACTCCAACGAGTTATTATACAATGGATCAATAAATTAATAATACCTTCCAGACCCATTCAATCCATTAACTTTCTTAGTC